CACATACACATCATGCTATGCTGTTATTTTCCCCATTTTCAATGCTATAACACTTTTTAAGGGTTTGATTATATGAGAAATATGTATGAGAAATGCCCGAAATCATAAACTTTGAAGGCCGATTTCTCATATACTGTATTGTTCTTTAAACAGCTGTATGTGTAACTATTTATAGCTCTTATTTTACTCTATTAACCCTGCATTAATAGCTAAAAATCAATTTTTGCGACGAGTGACTGTTTTGGTTTAGATTTGCCACATATGTGTTTGCAAGATGCTAAGTTCATGGCCCTGTTCTGAGCAGTCAGTTGTTAAATTTGATTGACATTCCAGATAGGTGCATATAGTGCTTAAATACTAAGCAGTAGGGTCCACAAACCTGATGTGGTCTGTGTTTGGTCATCTTGTCCAAGGCATTGCGGTGTAATGGAACAATCTCAATTTCTTTTTCATTAAGCTCTGTTAATATTTTGGCAATTTCAGGACGGTTGGTTTCTGATTCTATTAAGCTACTACGAATGTACGCTCGGATGATCTTCCTTCGATTAGCTTTAAGTGCAAGACAACACGGTGAAACTCCAAACAAAAGGTCATTGCCTATTGCAGGACATATTCTAAAAGGAACAAAAAAACAAATTAGCTGATTTGAACACTGCCTGTAATGTTGTAATGATATGCCTTTGTAATGTCCATTGTGTTTTGTACCTTATTACCTTCTTGTTTTATTTCCAAGACCAATGGAGGAGACAGAGGATTGCCCTCTACAAATTTTAAAATTAAGTTTTATGCTCGAAGTTGTAATGATATGCTTTTTTAATGTCCATTGTGTGTTTTACCTTATTAAGTTTTGTTTATATATTAAATGTAAATATAACAGCAAATTGAAAATAAATATAATTGTAATACATTTTTAATGTTAAGAATTTATATAAATGGTTTAACATTTATAATATTTTCATATAATAATAAAAACTGTTTTGAATGAATTCAAAATTTATTGGTTTTTTGTTGTAAATGTGATGAAGTTTAATGCTAATAATTTTAAAAACCTGTAAATGTTAATATAACAAAAAATAAATAAAATACTGTATAAGAGTGATGAATTAATATTTTTTTATAAATGATTTTACATTTCATATATTTTCATATAATAACAACAGTTTGAATATATAGTATTAAAAATGTATTGGTTTTTTTGTTTTTGTTTTTGTAATGTAATAAATGTTTAATGACAAATAGTTTAAAAACTGTAAATTTAATGATTTTCATATCTATAATATTTTTTTTTTTTGTATTCTGTGTTTGTCCTTTGTTAATAACTTGTGAAATTTAATCGATTGCTGTTTTGTCTACATAGGCTGCATCCTGGCTTATGTAAATTTTCTTTTTGTATATGAATTTTTCATGAATTGTCAAAAAAGAATGATGACATGACAGCTCTTCAGCACACAATAGGTTACTGTACAGACTCTCAATCTACTTACATATGTTTACTGTTCCTAGGTGTTCCTTTGGATGAGGGCATCTTTTTCCAATGTTGATCCTCAGACCTTGTTTTATCTCTATTAGACCGTGTTCCTTTGGCTGAAGGCATCGCCTTCCACCGCTGACCATCATCCCTCATTCTATCTCCATCAGACTTCCACTGTTTGACCTTGCTTTTATTTAAGATAACTTTCATCCTCTCTGCTGGTTTGCGAATCCTCTGAGGAAGACCTTGAAGATGACCTGCTTTATTTTCCTTGAAATGTTGACTGTCAGATGCACATACATCTTCAGTATACACAAGTTCTTTGTTTTGAATTAAGGCACCTTTTGGCTTGTTTCCAAGAAAGAGCCTTGAATTAGGCCTATTTAACTCGACATTAAATTCCTTCTCTTTTTGACACTTACCATCATTGATGTCATATTCTTCAGAATATAAATGTTCTTTGTTTGTTTTAGAGTTGGTAACTGGACTTAGCCTGTCAATTTCTTCCTCAATCAGCGAATTTACTGCCCTATATTGGTGAGGCCTAGGCCTAGTCTTGGCCCACCTCGGTGGAGTATGAACAACCGAGGAAGTGGCAATGCAAGCGGTTAACCTTCCATGCTGTTGCAGTAGGCGTGCTGCTAGGCCTAGAAATTTGAGAGATGGCATTAATTTGAGGATCATTACTTCACTAGCAACGCTTTCTAGTACATCAATCTTATTTTATGCAATAGTTATAAGTTAGTTACAAACCAAATTAAAAAAGCACAATAATTCGCGAGTTCGTTGAAAAACTCAGTAGCTAGCAAAATCGTTCACCATGCAATCCATGTGCGTTTTTGTTTATTTTTAAATAAATGGCGCCCTCAGCGATAAATTCCCTTCGTGTATTTTGCAACTACACACTACACTGTCAGTGGAATTCCTCCTTTGGGACACTATTCATACAACACTCATATTAAAGGGACATTTTCCCGTGGAACGAGGGGAAATATATCGTTTAACGCTACGGCCAACCCCTATTAAGGAAACGTTCCTATTAAAGGAACGAGGACACTTTCTGAGTGTGCCAAATGGTCAAATCAATAAATGTTCAACCTCTACTAAAGGGGACACTTTTTTTTAATTATTGTATCACTACAACTAATCGATAGATTCAAAATAACAATGTTTCATTCAAATTTAAATTTTGAAAACTTTTGAACGATAAAATGAATAGTGGTACAGACCCACTGTACATGTTAAAAACTAAAATCATGGAATTTATTATTTTAGTATGCATACTTTCTGCGTAGACCTTTCATAAGTTTGACACTTAATCACCTTGAAAGTCATTACTCTATTCATTTTGCTCTATATGTGATAGCACTACAATTTAGACCTTTTTTGTTTTAATACATTTATTTTGATTTCATTATAAACGTATTGTGTTTGCATTGCAAATTATTGTTACAATTTATTTAAATGTTCTTTAATTATTTATTTATTTTATTTTATTTTATTTATTTATTTATTTTGTTTGCAGGTTGGGGCTCTCTTCAAGATGGGATTCTTTTCGAGGCTACATGTGTTGTACTCTCATTGCCAACAATTTTTCATCATCAAACACAAAACCCACATATTCGGACTGAATCTCGGTATAATCAGTATATTTTCCCATATTCTTAATTCATATTAGTAATCCACATTAATTTCTCAGTTTTTTCCCTTTTTGATACTTGCATATGTATACAGGCATATATATTTTTGTATTTCTCTATTTTTATAAAGATTCTATTTTCGCCTATTTGTCTCTTTGTTTTTAATTAGGTTGTTAGTTTATATTTTTTGTTTATACTGTAGGCCTACACGTTTGAGGAGTTTAATCAGAGCGGCTTTAATTCACTGTCTCTGTTTATATCCTTCCTTATAATTGTTGACTGCGATCAGTGTTACCACACTGATTGTAAGCTTAATTATAATTACACCTCCCAATTAGTTTAATTGTTACTCCTCTAGATACCCGGAAATGCATTCATTCAGACTTAAAATTTGACTATTTTATCTCCATTTAAAAAAAATGTTTACAAATGTAGTGGGGGGGGGGAATCCTGAGCCAGATGAGCAACCCACCCCCACTGGACTAGTATGATATATGTCCTAAAGTCGATGTCAGTGACACGTTATGTATCAAGTAAGGACCTTACTGGACCCTATGGGTAGGGGAACCGAAGGTGCCCCTAAGGGTCCGGTGCCTTTGGAGCAAATTTTAAGAATAGGACCCTCTAGACGCTCGGAAATTGCACTCTCAGATGGTAAAAGTGCTTCATTTTTCTCAATTTTTTAAGTCATCAATTAAATTAATTAATTGGTTGATTAGTCAATGAATTAATTATTTAATTCTGTAGCGTCTAGACATATAACATTGAGAACTTCCATTAGCCGGTCTTCATCAGAATTTTATACAATAAATGAAAGAGGGCGATTCTAAAATGCGACCGACAATGTGACTTTTGACTTCTTAGTACCGGTATCTAATAATCACACCAAACAACCGTTAAGTTTTAACACAAGTTTTTAATCCCTCAAAAATTGCAAAGGTATAACATGCATTTGATGTGTTACTTCTAAATACGACAGACTTAAAAATACAAAACGACATCTCAGTTTATTACAAAATACGACGGATAACTATTACAAAATACGACAAGGTTTATTACAAAATACGACAATTACTACAAAAACGACGTAACAGAATAATTAACTGTTTTTTATACCTCTCCAGGTGGCGTTTCATAATAAACAATACTGAATAGAGTTGAAAGACTACGACAGAGACTTGACAAATAAATAACAAATGTGAGTACAGTATTGAACATGTTGCATCGTTAATTCAGTAGTTAAATGGGAATTCATTCTTCCTTCTATGGTTATTTTTTATTTTTTTTTGTTTTTGTTAGGCATTGACAATTTCCTCACTAGAAGCATGCTCTGACATGGCTCTATTCTATTCATTGCTCTATATCTTCTATTCATCAACAACATGCATTCCAACTCGTTAAAGCCTAAAACAATCAAAGACCTGAAACGATTAAAAAAAAAAAGAAACTGTATTTCCACAGCTTGCGGCTTGTTAACTTCCAGTCATTGTTTACATTGTAGATTATATATTAATTTATTACCAAGAATCTTGTCATTATCTGGTGCACAACTTTTAATCAAGAATAATTGAAAAAGTGGCAGATCCAATAATTTGAATAGATGGAATCCAGGCGAGGTGGGTGAGGACTTTCACAAATAGATTACATTATGGCAAACCGCGATTTTTCATGCTCCAGATGGCCGGAAACGACTTAAATATGAATAAAATTTTCAGTTTTTTTTCTCCATTTTAAAAATAATTTCGAATAATTTAGGTGGGGGTTGGTTACCCACCCTCCCTTGAATTCGCTACTGGCTACAGATGTATGCTAAATTGTATTATTTTTTTTTCGAAAATACAGAGCAGTTAATGACCATCTTATATATAATGATAATAATATTGAAAATTTAAAAAGCACCGGTATCCGTTTACGAGAAAACACTCATGGCACCCCTCCAAAAGAAAGTCGAAATATGAAAAAGGGGAAATTAATGAAGCCAGACACAGTTAAAAAAAAAAAAAAGATATAAGCCGTGAGTGAGCGTGACTCTCTCTATGTGGCCATTTATGCACGGACAATCCGCAAAGTTAATATGCTGGGCCCCAGTAACACAGTTGCTGTAAATAGCTAAAAATTATTAGTTTTAATTTAAAAAACAACTGCCTTGCTCATGAAGCCTGATTTACCATAAATTATAAACTAACATCGACTCCTATCGTCCGACTCCACCAAAAAAAAAAAAAAAAAAAATTATCCATAGACTACAATATAATGAATGGGCTGGACTCCTGATGTTCAATAATTGTTACCGGTATTCTCTTGATCACAATGGACCTTTCCGCTAAGCCCCGCCCCTTGGATATTGTTGCTAAGGTCCCACAAGGCGACAGTGTTAAAACATACGCAAACACGTGCGTTTGTGGGACAACACGTATGTTTG